TTGTTCGCTATATCAACAGAATATTAAAATACCATAAACAACAAAATATCTCTAACCACACTTGCATATACGTCATACGGCAAAAAGACTTAATAATTATTATCAATATGACTTTTTGATCATTACGACTTAGTACAGATACCAAGCCAAAATGTCGTAATTGAAATATTTTCAATCAGATACGACAATATGACTTGGTAATTATCAATACGACTTTTTGACCTGGTAACTGTTAGATTTTTGCAGATAGGACATATAAATATCATTGAAAACCCGTATTCTAAAGATGATACGAATTCTAGACGTTGTCTGAGAGGTAAAGCAAACTCTGTTATACCAGTATACCGCATAAGCAGAAAAAGTGAAAAATTGCAGATACGACTTCTTGTCTCAGCAGGGCAGTATTGTAAACTAGTGGTTCGAAATTGCTGCATTTCAAACAAAGTAGCGCAATTTTGTTGCGTCGACTTAAGTTGGCAACGTTTGGGCACTTTTCTATTATTAGTTTTACGAAAAACTTATTGTTATATATTTTTATTCAAGTTGCAACCTGAAAGCCGGAAAATCCTGGAATTTTTACTGGATGGATGGATTTCGCACTATTTATTGATTTTTTCAGACCGCTGGTTTTCGAAGCTAAAACTTCCATCATTTTCCTATAATCTTACCTATGAGTCTCAATTCTGGCGGCTGCATTGGCAGCTTGCTTCTTAAACTCATCCCGATGAGTGGATTTCAACGGCTCAGGGCGATGCTGATCGGCAAGACCTTTCACTTTCTGGCTGACCGCAACATTTCCGTTCAGTACTAACTTTTGGGTGCTCGGGTACCTGAAGAAAATCACCATCAGCTCGGTTTAGTCAATTTGGTGAATGTTTCCAGTCTTACCGTGTGCTCGATCGTTCCGCATAGCCTCTCTGACTGGGGAACCCTAGAGGTTCTTCAGAACCCGCATTTTTCGGATCAGAAGCAAAGGCTTGATAAGGCTTGCTGCTAACTTGGTGAATGATGTGATCAGTTGGTCGGGTTTTGATCAGCGAATATCGCATGGAACGTTCAGGAATACCGACGTTCTGGTTAAGGGCGGTCTGCTTGAGTTCGTTGCTCGGTTTCTGAACTTGTGCCTGAGGTATTTGGTGGCTGGAAGTCGAATTTGACTTCAATCTGTGAATGGAGACGAACTTTTCAATGCAACAAAAGTACTGGCACGAAGCATTGAAGCGGGCACATTTTATCGCCATTAATATCTGCAATTTTCAGGGCTTTAACATCGGAAAAAATCACTCGAGGATGTAGGCGCTTGGCAAAACCATGCAACTCTAATTGATAGAATCAGCGATTATTCATTGCGAGGCAACGCTGTTGATGTATATCGATTGGAAATCAGCTAACTGTTGACGATCTCTCATCAGCATTGCAAATGCTTGTCCTACACCAGCAATTTTCATGCATTTCAAGAAGAAAAGTCATGAATACATTTCGTAATCAGGAAATCGTACTCGGGGCCTGGTTGAATATTTAACAGGTACTGACTGGATGTTCGGTTTAAGCAAGAGGAGTCATGAGTTTTGCTGGTTTTTTATTCATCTTGCTTTGTGTTCGTGAGTTTCTTTGGGCTTTGCTTTCGAGGAACTGGAAACTATGTTGACTGAACTCGCAAGGGAACCCGAAAAAGTCGACCTAGAAATGAATAACACCAAAACAAAAATGATGACAAACACGCAAGAGACCATGAACTGGAAAGCGAGCAAGAGGACGATCCCAGATGAGTTCCGAAGAGGAGGATTGCATTGGAAACAAACAGCACAAAATAGAAACGAGTGGAAAAACTACGAAATGTCTATGTCCAAGAAGGACGAATCGAAAGGCGAAAGATGAAGAAAAAAGGGGCCTGCAACATGCAGGCTGTCCCGCAAGCACATGATCAAAAGAGTACTGGACATTGTTTGGTTCAAATTCATTGGACCTAACTTTTACTCAGAAAAAGTGATACACAAAGCTCTTCAAAAAAATGTTTTTTTGAAGTATCGGGAGAATGGATTTAAATGAAAGTGCCTGCAAATTTGTTGTGGATTGTTTCCATCTTTTGATGTGCATTTTACACTTACACATTAGTAGATTCGAGTTCCACTGTTATGCGATTGATAGCTTCTCCTTCAATGCTACGTACAGGGGCGGATCCAGCTTTAAAGTCAGGGGGGGGGTTATGTAGAAAAAATACAGTCTTTTGTTATCTGTGAAATTAGAAAAATGATCGTCGTTTTGTGCAAGGGTGGCGTAAGATTATTGCAAAATTTCATGTTTTCCGTCCCGTTTTGCATGTTTCTCGGAA